GGGAGAGGGCAAGTCCTTAGCCAGCTTAGACGCACGGGTCTTTCGGCATACAGGGGTCTCGCTACCGGAGGCTACTGGGGACTGCATGACAGTCTTCACCGGGCTCTTCACAGGGGTCTCGCTACCAGAGGCTACTGCAAACATGACAGTTTCCACCGGGCTCTTCACAGGGGTCTCGCTACCGGAGGCTACTGCAAACATGACAGTTTCCACCGGGGTCTTCACAGGGGTCTCGCTACCGGAGGCTACTGCAAACATGACAGTCTTCACCGGGCTCTTCACAGGGGTATCACCTCTCTTTGCCCACTCACAGACCCCCAAAGTACGGACTAATGACTTCCAGCATGGCCCCCTAACAGTGGGACTCTGTTTATTTCACAGCTCCAGGAGAGACCAGGGGAAAATCACCTCTCTTTGCCCGCTCACAGAGCCCCGAAGGACGGACTAGAGACCTCCAGCAGCAGTCCCTAACAGTGGGACTCTGTTTATTTCACACCTCCAGGAGAGACCAGGGGAAAATCACCTCTCTTTGCCCGCTCACAGAGCCCCGAAGGACGGACTCATGACCACCAGCATGTCCCCATAACAGTGGCACCTCCATAACCTTGCACACCGTGAGTCCCCGGGCCCCCGCAGTTAAGCACTCCCCCCACGGACCATGGCTCAAAATGTCCAACTTAAAGTATTTGGAGAACCAGGAAAATGTAAAAATTATGCCCCAAAATAGTGCTTCAAAATCGGGTAGAGTCACCTGCAAAGTGCCCTCGCATTCCTCCATGTCGAACTTAAAGTATTTGGAGAACCAGGCTGGGGGGTCTTGAGGCACAAAATTAGGCCCACTCAGAGTGCTTGGTGAGCGGATACATTCTTCCATGATTTGCAACAGCCGTTTTTTTTCTGAGTGCACCCAAAAACTGGGTTTCCGATTTCGTGCGGACGGTAGTCTGAAAAGTATGGATGAATCTTTTTCACAGGGTAGGGGAAATGAAGCCCAAGGACCTTTTCCCCTTCTCCGTTGCACCAACCATCGGAGAAGGGGAAAAATCGGCCCGAAGCGCCAAACACTTGGCCCCTTCTCCCGTTGGCACTCTGTCATTTTTTTGACAATCTTTCAAAACTTCATTTTTGATTATTTTAAGATATAATTAAGCGTTTTCTTCACTTTTTTTTGCTTTCCACGGGTGGGGGCGCCTAGCAGGCCGCCTATGAGCACCCAAATTCGGCCTGGATCATCCAGGATTTGTGGGCTAAGCTACCATAAACTGACTAAATCACCCAGAGAGGTCACCTTTCTAGCCCAAATATATATAATACAAATACATTTAAATAGTAAAAGGTGCACTTGTGCTCTGCATTACCCGGAATTTGATTTTCATAGCCCCATGATAGTGATTAAAAATCATTTTCGTGGGAAAAAGTGTTAAAACGCCTGATTAAATTATATGCAGGACCCCAGTGAGCTCCAGACTATGTGCATTGTGTTGGGGAACCATATAAATGATAGAATAAATGCATTTAAATGCAAAAATAATGATTTTAAATCATTTTAGGGGGACAATTGTGGAGAGGAGCCTGAAAATGACTCTGCAGCACCCCGGATAACTACCAGTTCATCTGGTTTAAATGTGGTGGTGATAGTGGCATTAACTAGTACCCAGTACTGGGAGAGAACCAGGCTACAGCACATGTCTTTTCAACCCAGGAAAGAGTGCTCAAAACGTGGGTAAAGGTGTGTCGAACAGTGGGATAACATGTTTCAAATGACAGCAGAATGATGCTTGTTGGCAGGCTGACTCAGTTCACTTGTCTCACACACACCCAGGGGGGGAAAGAGGACACATTGACCCAGCAGTAAGTGCTCAAAACGTGGGTAAAGGTGTGTTAAACAGTGGGGTAACATGTTTCAAATGACAGCACACTGCTGCTTGTTGGCAGGCTGACTCAGTTCACTTGTCTCACACACACCCAGGGGGGGGCGAAAGAGGACACATTGACCCAGCAGTAAGTGCTCAAAACGTGGGTAAAGGTGTGTTAAACAGTGGGGTAACATGTTTCAAATGACAGCATGGTGCTGCTTGTTGGCAGGCTGACTCAGTTCACTTGTCTCACACACACCCAGGGGGGGAAAGATAACACGTGTACCCAGGAATAAGTGTTTGAAAGGCGGGGAAAAGTTGTTTGAAATAGTATAATACCTCCAGGGCGCATAACTGCACTTTACAAGCCAGAAATAATGTTTAAATGGTCGGGGAAAGTATTTTTAAATGTCTGGAAGAGAGTTTTAGCCAGTCATTTTGCTCGATATCATTTAACATTGACGCTCATATTCTGTGCATTTTCAGGAGAGCGTCAATGTTAAACGATATCGTGCAGATTGACTGGCTAAAACCCAGGAGTAAATGTTTGAAAGGCGGGGAAAAGTTGTTTAAAATAGTCTGATACCTCCAGGGCGCATCACCAAAAATGTACAAGCCAGGGAAGGTGCCTGAATCCCGGATACTTTAGGTCTGTCACTTAGGGTGACCGCACCACTCCGACGCTCCAGAGAGTGGACGTCCATTATTTGTAAGGCACCTAAGACAGATAATGACAATGTAGAGTAGAAAATGAATGAATGGTTTCTGCAAAATACACAGAAATAGAAATAAGGTTCAAATTACAATAACTAACCAGACTGTGGTTATTAATAATAAGCAACAGCAATACTAATTGTTGCTAAAACACATTAGACACGTTGCAAACACACACATGGCTAATGAAAGCTAAGTTCGCATCTCATCCACACACTATCACTGAATAGCTTAACTTAGCTAACTAGCTAGCATTAGCTCAATTCCTGAACAACATAGACAGCTAAAAACGGGACATCAAGACTCATTAACACACTGACTGAGCAGGACACTATGCATACAATCTTATAACATTACCAACACTAAAGATCTGCATATATGCTCACATTCTTCACGAACGCATTCTCTCTGTGACGATGGTAATTATGCATGTGACGATGCGACTGCAATAATGTCCTGTCATGAACGCACATGTGTAACCAGCTCGAGGACCCGTAGCTGCACTACTTTAGCTGTCCCTAAATGTGCCTGACGAAAACACGAACGATATAATGCAGATCAAGGAAAACAAGGGGAATTTACAACAGTACTAGTACTCACCTAAGCAGCCAGCTTGACATTAGGACTTGCTTGCTTGTCATTCTATTTTCATGTTTTCTTTAAGAAAAATTAACTTGCTTGCTTGCCGAAGGGCAGACTGGCACTAACAATGTCTCCTGCTCTGGAGAACACCCTCTCTCTAGGGACAGAGGTAGCAGATACAGCCAGGTAGCGCTTTGCTAACATTGCAACATAAGGATATTTGCTGTTTGTAATAGCTTTGGCTCGGTCTGAACTTTTTGCGAGTGTTGGAGGCTTAAATGCTAGAGGGAGTTGGGTTTGCACTTCAGTCATTTTTCTTTTGGTACCGGTGATATTCACGTTCGGGTGATGCCTTTTCAAATGAGTGTGCAAGATTGATGTATTGCCAGCCGCGTAACCAATGTTAGTTGAACAACGCCGACAAACAGCTTTGGTTCGGTCCACCTGTCTTTGTCCGTCATCCTTGTACGTAACTGCAAAACCAAAATGTTCCCAAACCGGAGACTTCAATGATGCTGGAGGATTTTCCAGCTCAACTTTATCTGTGTTCACCATTTCGCCAGTTCCTCAAATTACTGACTACATTTGAACGCATCCCTGTGACCAGCTCTCATAGTATGCCTCTCGTCCAATGAAATGACTTGGTCGCTCTATGGCGCGTTGAACCCAATGTGAGCAAATTACACTGAACGCTGCGACGCAGCACCTGAGATTACTTCCAAAAAGTTTTTTACGTTCTCAATTTATACGAATACGTATACCGTTACCCCCCTAATATCCACATTAGCTCAAACAGTCTAATCAATATCCACCAAAAATGGATTAGAGCTGATGCAGGGTCTCTTTGCATTAGCGCGTCTCGTTATGTTATCATTAGCGTTAGCTCCGGACGCTGCCATTACGTCCCCTCTAACTCACATATGTTGCTTCTCCCCGTACATTTGTTTTTATAAAACAGTGCGCACGCACGTCCTATGCCGGTTTCCAATTATAAATCAGTATCAACTCGAAATATTGCACAGCCCCTAATTAATATTAATTAAACCAACTGCATAAAAATCGAGCATGGCAAACTTAGAAAAAAGAGCTAGATGCGAAGTAGAAATCTATGTCGGAGAAGTTGATACAAGAATGAAGTCTTGTTTGGTGTTTGGTGTCACAAATGCCAACAATGAATCAGATGCATCTGGCTGCATGTGGCAGATGCCATTAACTCTATTTCAGCACAGGCTAAACTGTTGCTGAGATAAAAAGAAAAGAGTGGACCGCATATTTTTCCGTTATATTTTCCCGTCAAGTTTGTTTTTTATACATCGCAAAGATTGCTGAGACATTGGCCTACGCTCTAAAGATGGCGTACGCCTGTTTATAAATGAGGCCCTTGGTCTCCCTATACATCACCACAATCATATCCACATTTTGTTCTCACTTGCCTCTTAGGGGTACTGTTAACATAAATGTATATCAAATTGTGATTTGAGGTGACTACCCATGATATAAAATTAAATGAAAAAGTAAAGAAACTTGTAGCAGAGCAAGTTGGTAAAGACTTAATGGTCGAAATGATTAGCTTCTCCCTGTAAAATTGTGGGTGATCCAGGTGTGGGTGTAGAGAATAAAAATTACATTTCAAGAAAACATTTCAGGGGATTGGTAAAGTTAATAGCTTAGTCTTGTTTGGCGACATGAATGTCTGAATATAATTTCATTCCACTAACTTTCACTAAAAAACAAAACTGTCGACCTCATCAAGACACTATAATAAAAGTCATGAGATCAATAACTGCATTAGGATTCTTCTGAGGACAAACATTTTTGCTGTCTGTGCTTTTCCCTTTTCTCATCCAGTGTCATTCATGAACTCAGATCAACCTCACCTGACTGGTACTAAGTTGAGGCAGAAGAGGCAGATTCAGTCTTCGGTCTTTGCCAATGGCTCGAACCTGAAGTGGGTGACCTGGAACAACTCTGTCCCAAACAATTCTGTTTCAATTTACAATAGTAATTTCCAACGCACAGATTACATCTGCAAACACAAATGTGGGGCTGGCTTTTATACCCCCGGCGAGGGTCCTCATTGCTACTATGCTTCTGCAGAGAAGGCATCTTATGGTTCTCCGTTTGCGCTCCTGGTGAATCAAAACAACTTTGAGATCCTAGAGTGGAAGAAGGATTCAGGAGGTTCAGTGCCAAAGAGTTCAGTCAAAACCTGCCCTGGAGGGGACATTTACGTAGGAAAAAGCAAATATGGACTTGGAAACGTTGCTACTAAAGCTAAGAGCTTCTACCTGCCTTGGGAAGGTCAAGTATATACGTATGAAAAATACGAGGTACTGACCATCACTGAGGATATAAACAGCCAGGAGATCTACGACGTGAAATACCACAAGGACAAGTCTAAAATGGTCAACTATCCTCCAGAGATCATTGGGAAAACATCCATCACTAACAAGGAAAGCAGATCAGTGGTAAAAAAGGATACCTTCTCAAAGACATATCAGACTCAAAGAAGGTGGGATCACGAAATCTCTGTTAAACTTGGAACTAAAACGACTGTTAAAGCCGGCATACCTTTCTTTGTTGATGGACAAATTGAGATCAGCATTGAAGTGGCATACCGGCACAACTGGGGAACAACGGAGACAGAAACCGTCACCAATACTATTAATCTGGAGATCACAGCCCCGCCAAACCATTCCTGCATTGTGAACATCGTGCGCTATAAGAACAAAGTTGACATCCCTTTCACAGCACTCATCAGACGCACCTATGCTAACGGAGAGATCCACATAACGTCCATCACTGGGACGTATAACAGCGTTGATGTTGCTGAAGTGCGGGCAGTGGTCGAGCGATGTGAACCTTTAGACAATTCCAAGTCCTCTGCACATACCATATCTGCAGGTTTGATGCATTTTGTTCTGCTTTTGATTATATCAAGTTTGTTTTCTGGTTGAATTTCTAATACGCTTATTGTACCCTTCTGAAATAAGCCAAACTAATAGTATACGGAATAGCAACATAATTTCCTGGAGATGTGGAGATGTAAAGTTTTAAAGCAGAGATAGTTAAATTGACGGCAGCTGGAAACCTGAGTCTCACACACCTTCAATCACGCACACACACATACACACACACATACACACACACACACACACACACACACCAACCCACTCTCTTCAGTCTGCGTACAAATGACACGACTTTACACATTGGAAATGCGTGCAATAGATACGCAGAAGTCCGATTTTGCGTGCATATGATACGCTAACCATTCCCATTGAGTTGTGAGGCCGAGTTTTGCGTGCATATGATACGCCACGTTTTGTCCGGTCGGGTCTTGGTAGACCGGAAGCTGTGGGGTTCATAAAAACATGTTCTTACTCAATATCAAGCCACAATTATTGTTTTTATTTTAAATCTTATAATGTCGGACATTTTTTTCCTTCTAATTTGTTATTCTTTTCTAAATAACACACTGTTATTTACTCAACAATAACACACAATTATCCTTGTTTTTATTTATTCGTTTAATTCCATAATCTCTGGCTTTTTAGCCGTTCCTCAGGAACTGAATTCCAAAATAAAGTCACCGGAAACAGACGTAGGCCTATAAGGGACATTTTGAGCATCATTGCGATGTACACACCCACTGAACTGATTACCCAAGATCCTCAGCTAGAAGCTCGGTGATTGGATTGTTTAGCCGCAACGCACGTTGGGATATGGTGTTAATGCGATATGAAATCCGAAAAACATTTTAAAAAAAAAGAAGAAAATAATACATTATTCCGAGTGTGCTTGCTTTTCTTTTTGAAAGTCATCACATAACGGCATTGTAATACACGGTTCGGCTGCATTGAATATTACACATCTGCCTAGTTCTTTAGTTATAGAGCCCTGATGAGAAGACTTCTGGACAAACAGGAAGAAATGCCGCTGAAACTGAATACGTGACGTGGATCATAAATATATCAGCAATTAAACAACATCTTACATTTATTTTCACATAATACGTCTCCTTGCAGTATCAACACTAATTCGGCTGACTTTTATATTTGATCCAATTGGTAGATAGGTTATATTTACCCCATAACGGTGCACAGCTGATAGAAAAGGACTTGTAGTTTTGAAAGATATTACTGATTTTCTTTGAATATAAGAATGTAAATACTGAGTTGAGAGAATAGTCAGGGGTTTTGGGTGATGGGAGACACATCTATGGAATCACAATTTCAATAGCTTACCATTAAATGACGGATATACCTTTCTGTCTGTGATGTTTTACAAATCAGATATTAATGTGTAGAAGTAAAACATGAGAAATAGTATAGCAATATCCTGTACAATTATGTGAAAACATGAATAAAACTACACATCTTCAGATGTTATACATACATAAGTGTCCTACACTAATAATACAAAGTTATTATTAGTATACTGTGTGTACCTTGTGTGCACCGCCTAGTGGTTAAAGCACGTTATTGAATTATTTTTGTTGAATAATGTTATTTTTGTTGAATAATGTTATTTGATGAATAAAATATTAAGAGTACATACTTTCATAGGGGGAAAGTAGAAGGTCAATGATAGAAATATAGAATATAAAAAATCAAGAAGATACTGTAAGTGATCTCTACAATAAAACAGTTTGGTGCCGGATATATAAAGATATTAATATGAGGATGTGCAAAACAGACAAACTAATGAACCTTTATTTAAACATTAAAGAATGCTTTAGGTTAAGGTCTTCTTTTAAATAAGAAAAAAGCTTTGGGGGTATCTATCTACAGATAAATATTAAGCCTGACAAAGTACTTAACGTCTAATATATTGCTTTCCTGCAATGTTAACTATGTTGAAGCACTTATTTGAACTGATATTATACACATTAATTATACTCTTATGTATGTAGTGTTGAAGAAAGGAAGAAAATGGAACAATGTATTTTATTATATAAAGCTTAAATATGTTAAAAACTGTGTTAAAACTCTGAATGCCATAGTCATGTATCGTATAGTTTAATGCTTTAGCAATATAAACAGGATGTATAACAGAAATCCTGACATGGGTACTCATAAAGACCCCATTTTTTATTGATGTGTGGTGTTATAACTTGTGAACTTTACTAAAACTACCTGTTCACATTTGTGAGAGGAAACTAAAGTCCATGTAGCCCTTCTGATTATTGTTGGATAAGTGACAAGTCAGATGGCAAAGTAACCTGTTCCCACGTAGCTTGAGTCCTGAGTCCAGTTTGATTCCAGTGTCCTGTTCCTTGGCTGAGGATCAATCCCTGACGGAGTCTTGCAGAGACACCAGAGGTAAGACAATAGGTAAGTTCCCCCCTAAGATAACTGTTGCTGGATTCTATGTCATATTGGAGGTCGCCGCGATCGGTTGATCTTAATAAAGATATAAATATAAATACAAACATATATCTATAGTATAGAAGACAATCAGAAAGCAGACAACTAATACTTTACAAGAAGCATAAAATACTGTATAATAAATATTCACTAACCTCTATTTAATTATGTTCTAAAATCATTTATCAGAAAAATAAATGAAAAACATTTCCACATTTCCACAAAACAGGAAAATAAATCAGTGAAATATGTTATTGATATTAAAAATAAGTGACTAGAAACTTAAATATTGAGACAAAGAAACATACAGTAAATTATAAAAACAGGAGAGAGGAAATGTGGAATAAGTAATTAACATATTTTACAATAATTAGTTGTTTACTATCAGAAATAATCAGTAGTATATGACAATAATATAAAAAGTATTTATAGATTCAAATCAACTTTTTGTAAAACTTGAAATGAATAAAATGAAAACATTGACAAGAAATAAAATAAGATAGAAGAAAAATATGAAATAAATACTATTGACTTAATTTTGCAAGAAACTTCAACATAACATTGAAGAAAAATTATAAATATTAAAAAACACTGACAAGAAACATCCAAAAGGATTACAACCACATTCAATGTAAATACTGCTATTTTTTACTATATATTTTTTAACGTTATTATAGTTTCTTCAAATAGTTTTCTATCTGTAGTAGTAGTATTCGTTTATTTGTCCCAGAGGGGAAAATGGGTTGCAGCACAGCACAAAGGCATTTAAAAAGATAAAACATATGTCACTGACAACAACATAGACACAGATTAAAAAGTACAGACATAAAAAAACAGATATGACAAGAGAGGGGGGGGGGGGGGGACACAGTGCCAGACCAGCTGGGTAAACAGTGCGTCCTAACCATCATTGATTCAGGAGTTTGATGGCTTGTGGGACGAAAGACAGCCTAGATCTGTTCTTTTTAAACAGAGGGGCACGATGTCTCCGCCCGGATGGCAACAGTTCAAAATAAGAGGCAAGAGGGTGCCTCAGGTCACTCCAAGCCCCCAGGAAGTGCGCTGGACTCTGAGGAAAATATTGGTGGTAATGCAACTTCCGTATCAGTCCGTGATGTCCCTGGGCCCGGAAACACTTTTTCCCATTGACTAACATTGGGAGAGAGACGTCTGTAAACACAATTTAACCAAATAAACTACCCATTATGAACATTTGTATAGCCCTTATTAAAACATTAGGTCCTCAAGTTGTAAAATTTGCTAATAACGTTATTCTGAGAGTTATTTTCCTCTGCATTATGGACGCGCATCTGAGAGTGGGAGCTCGGGGGGCGGCGCTTAAGGGGCAACTCAACTGCGCATGCTCTATGAGCGCACATACGGGTACTTCTGCTCTGACAGCCAGGCATGCTGGGTAATCTGTGACGTTTCACTCTCTCAAAAGTTGGGCCATTTTGTCCTCATGAGCCAATGAGCAGCTCTCATAGGAAAGAACGAGACCCCGCCTCCCACACTGTATCCAGTTCTTATTATACATCCATGGGTCACTTACAATATTGTGTGCCATTTTTAAAACTCAGTCCTTGTATAAGACTGATTCTATAATTTAGGGTGCATTTCACATCAACAAAACAGTACAAAGAAAGTGTTCTTTCTCAACAGAACAATCAGTGGTTCAAGTTAGTATATTCCTCAGTGTAACATATCCACTAGTTGCAAAGCTTAAACATTTTATTTATTTTTTTATTTTAAGGGAAAGGATGTTTTCACTACTCAGTTTGTCAACTATGTTACGGACAAACTTGATGTCATTACAATCATTTGATTAAGTCCTGCACTTCAAGTAAAATCAAATGTGAAAGGCTCTTGAGTCTATTCTACCATATATCCAAAGATTTTTTAAAGTTTAAAAAATAATTGTATTAAAGTTTTGTTTTTTCATGTGATATGTTCAGCACTGTCATTAAGTTTAGGGATATTTTGTATTATAAAACTACCATACAGGTCATTTTGATAGTTTTAAGAGATGTCATGTAAAACTCCAACCTGTGTAGATATACATTATACTATAAAGGATATCAGAAGCACTATTTTAGATATTTTAAATTTGAAAAAATGAGGTGCAACATAGTTGACAATGAAAGTCAAACATTTGACGCAAATAACATAGTTGACTGGACACATTATTAACCATCAGCACTATGTTAATTTCAAGGCAGAAGTGCAAAATTCCATTGATAATGATGTGTAATGACGTCTACATGTCGTACAAATTGTCAACTAGGTTACCTGTCAACTAAGTTACTACAGTTATTACAGTACTGGGTAACTCAGTTGACAGGTAACCTAGTTGACAATTTCCCTATTTTGACCCATCATTTCAATGGTAGGCCTTGCCTGGATGACCACATGTCATTTTCTTGAACAGGTTAACATCACATTTGCACATATAATTGAATTAAAATCATTAAACAATTGTAAACCATAACAATGTACGTAACATTGTTGATGGTCAATTAATATACTCATTGATGATGTGCTATTATACATAAAATATTGTAAAAAATTAGAGGACAATTCAAAATGTCTGCCAAAGAGGAACATGGCATCATGTGATGCTGGTGACATGGTATTGGGACAAACCATTTTTGAGTTAAAGGGGGGAGTTCTGTTAGTAACATAGTTGACAGAACTTTTGCGGACATTCATATATTAAGATATTTAAATTATTTAAAGGAGGAAATCAATTAAAAAGATTTTATTATTCTTTAGTATTTAGACTTTTGAA